TACACGATGGGGGTTGTGAGGAGATGACATTGCCATTTCTGTTCGGTTGACGAAATGAAAACAAACGTATGAAAACACGCAGGAGAAAGTCGGAGTTCGCGTCATTACAGTGCTTTTTGCGTGGCAGTGATTGTTTGACTGCAGGCAAGGCACGAATGAATCTCTGCGAAAGGCTTCATCGCAAGCTAGGAGACATAGAGAAGCAGTTTATTCGTGTTGTGATAATCTCAAGAGGAAGCGATCGTGAGTTGTTCGATGTCTCAACCCTAGATAGTGATATGATTCTTCAAAAAGCAAAAAGCAGATTTCGACATACAGGATAATTGATTTGTCAACCAATACCAGCATACAAATAGAATCTAGAATAACTATAATGGCTCAGAGATACTGTCACATCAACTACAAAGGCGAGGAATCTCCGCAACAAGCTTCAAGATCTTATATCAACAAAATCACCTTCGAATAGCTTTCCATAATCAGAATTAGCATTATAATCTGTCGCGACGAATCTTGTGAGCTTTGTTCCATGTAGAGTCAAAATATCTGTTCAATATGAGTTTTATCAGCTTTTTGTATCCAAAGTGAAGTTTCTTGAATACCTATGCGCTCGGACCGATAACTCAACTCCCGAAGGAGAGCAATTGTGGAAAGTGCAACGGCAGTTGACATACTGATCCATGGTTGCACCAAGGACCAGCAGTCCGTCTTCGAGTCATCTCGACGTGACTGGATGGACACAGCGCCCTACTCAACTATAAGAAAGACGGAATTGCAACGCAATCTGTCAAATTCATAGATTACATCATCGACGCTGAGCGTGGAATCCTGCCGGATCCATCAACGGTGGAAGCTATCGTTGAAATGCTGATGCTGGCATGTGCAGCAGACGTCAGTTGTTTCCTAGGAATGGTGATTCACCAGCTGAAGTCCATGAAAAATTTCTCGACGATGACACAATCACTGCGTGAGCTGCGATTTTACGAGATGGAGTTGGTACGGATAGGGTTCCACGAGAAAGTCACTGCTGATATCAAGGCAAAATTGATTTCTGCTTCAACGCTGGCCGAATGAACGCACCAGAGTATCATCGGATCTAGCTTGAGAGCCGGTTTTGATCAGCTGCACCCAGCCTAGAAGTACTTCGCGTTTCGCACACTCACAGTCACAGAGTGTCGATACGCTCAAACCGAGAAAGAAGTTCTCGCTTTGTTGCTAAGTACGGACCACAAACCTATCGTATCGCTTTTGAGCCAGAATCCACTCAGTGAGCTGACACCACGCCTGCAACGTTTGAGGATGTACTCGATGAGATTATTCAACACCGTTAGGCATGTTGCAGTCACCCATGTCGCCAGACACTCTTCTCAGGGCTCCGATGTCGACGACAGCGCCTGCTGACGACAGAGACCTGCTTAGAGAAACCGACGTTGCTATGCTAGAACTATCATCGCAGATCTGCTGGTGGCCGACCCTATCCTGAGGAGATTAGAAAAAGTCCAAGAAAGCGACGTTCAAGCACAACTACACGTTCGAGAAGGATGGTTGCATTTCTAGGACGTCGAGGCCATCCTGGTATCATCCATCAGGGAGCGGGCCAACTTGTCTGTAGTCGAAGATCTTCTAGTGAATGGTTCACGAATCTAAATTCCCAGGGAGTTTCTAGACGACATACTGGTACGGCTGCATAAAAACCACCAAAGATGTCCGTCGTACTTATGCAGAGTGCAAATTCTACTGACAACATCGTCCACAGCCTGAGAAGCCCCTATTTATGTCTTAGATACTCGATTGACCATCACAGCGAGTGGCAGCAGAGTTGTGCCAACGTGGGAACCAACACTACCTGGTGGGTGTGAACTACGATTCACGTTACCCGGATGTAGCGAAATTGGTATCGCTTTCAGCATGAGGTACGATCAACAAACTACGCGATATATTCACGAGACATGGAGTTCTCGCGCAACTGCAAGCTGACATAAAACCACAGTTCAACAGAATTGAAGAATCGGTCTGTTGTTGCAATTGATCCTAGAATAAGAGTTTTCAATCTCCCATTCATTTTAGCTGAATTAAATACCTGACAATTGGATGAAGAAGAATATTCTTCTCGGATATTCTCTCGAATTTCATCTGATATTTCATCCAGAAATTGATTGTTAATTTGAGAAAATTCCAGATTTCGACCGCAAATTAGGATTTGTACCCAGTAGGGGTGTGAGATCAGGATAAGCGGATCTATGAACCTGCGCCACTGTTACCCGCGTAGTTTTTGCTGCGCTCTGAACCGCTGAAGAATAATAACTTCAACTCACTTCTTGTTTAGATGAAATGTAAAATCGTCATGGCAAGAATGCTGAGGTTATTCAGATTTTGATCACTTCTTGATGCCCAACGTCACCGTGACCGATCTTCATGGTGCCTAATATCACCGATAGCTTGGAACATATTGCCCAATTCCACCAATACACTCGAAATATGATGCCCCATGTCACCGAGTATAACATAATACCTGTAGGTATGTGATGCCCATTGTCACCGAATTGAATTATACGATTGATATTATACCTATAAACCGTTTGTTGAAGAAAAAAATCAGTACTCGATAATTTGAGATTAACATTTTCAGTTATTTCTCCCTCATGAGAGTAAATCGTGATATTGATTTGTTGAAAAACTATATGCATGGATAATTGACTGAATTTGTTTGGACATCGGAACGAAAAATATGCCATTTCACGGAAATGGTTTGTTTCGAGCAATTCTAATGAGATACCTTCTTCATGTGAAAGATTTCATAGAATGGTATTCTGGTAGAAATGGAATTCAATTCCGATTTCAATTCAATCAGAAAAATGAGGTGTACATATGATATTCATAACACATTACAAATTTCAGTGTTCCTCTTGGATCGTACGACTGTACCTTAGCATGCTGTATGCTTGTGTTGTACTAGTCTTCAATCCGCAAGGATTATTGTAATTATACGGATATCATATTTGGCAATGTGTATAATTGGAATTTATCCGAAAGAGATTCATTTTCATCATTTGTGTAGATAATAGATGAATGAAATACCAATTCATGAGATTTGGTGAGTACTGAAAGAATAACAATTGATCTATTGTATAATTAATTAGAGTAAAATTGTTTTGATTTCGATTCAATATTCGTATTCATTAGATTTTTTCCATTTCTGGTGGTGACAGATCATATAATTCAGGTCCAAAATATTATATAATATATCTTTGAGTGTGGCTTTTTCTGAATAATGGTGTATTAAGGATGATATTTTATACTGCGCTAGTATTTTTTCGCGACCCCCACTGATTGATAAGAACGATTTGAATTCTGAAACATTCATTCTAGGCATTGATAGGCATATAGGCTTTCAACATCAAGTATATTTAGTTGTTTATATAACTGTTCGGTTGAATGAAGTCTTGGTTTGATGAATATTATTTCCTGTAGTTTATTCTGGATAGACTGGAGTTCTATTGAATTGTTGCGGGACAGACCTCCCCATGCTTTGATACAATACCGCAGTATAGATTCATTCAAAGAATAATGAATTATCCTGTGAGTTTCGTTATTTAAGATATCTCTCAAAGTATACATTCAACGAGTCAGATGCCTGCCAGTCTGCGAGTCAGTAGAATAGTATGCTTCTCACATCTCAAGTGTTGGTCTATCATGACGCCCATATACTTAATAATATCACATTTTTTTATTTCAATCATTTTCTTGCCCTTATGTGGTATTTTCTCCTACTGGTTGATTATGTGCTGTTAGTTGAAATGCAATATATTCGTTTTTTTCAACATTCAAGGTCAATAAGTTTTGGTCTAGCCAGTTATTTACTTGTTTTATTCCCATATTTTTGCAGAGAAAATTGATGTAGTTTCTTCAGCATAATAGATGCAGTGGCCTTTATAGTTCTCAAATATTCGATACTATTTATGTATATTAGGAACAGGATTGGACCTAACACTGTCCCTTGCGGTACAGCCATTTTTATTTCTGAGGGATAACTACAGTAATCTCTCAACTTAACTCTCTTAGATCTCTTATGAGAGTAATTTCGCAGGATATCCTCGGCTGATCCTCTCATATCATAATGATAAAGCTTCTCCATGAATATTTCATGAGATATGGTATTGACCTTGGCAAGCTCAGGAAAGATGTCGAGGCATTTTCACGATCTATCCAAGGCATTAACTCGCACCTCCTTGTGAATGAAATCATGTTTTTCCCACCACAGAATGATTTGTGAAATCGAATCACAGCGAGGTACGAAATTACGTGATACTAAGATCGATGATAATAAAGATGATTGAAGGAAACTGCATTAAAGGACCAACTTTCAGAGGGTTTCAGCGGCCTGCGGAAGCATTCTCGGACTCATGTTGATGAGACATGTTTTCATCATTTTCCTTCGAAATATCACCTTCTTCTGTATACTAACGTTATTCTGAAACACCCTGCATACAAAGAGTTCGTCAAAATGTTATAACTCCAGTCAAATCGAGTTGACGATATCACTTGAATCTTCTTCATTGAAGCCTTCAGTATACTGTTTTGTCTCAACGGTTGTACCTAATTATGCTTATCAAAGGGACACTCCGGCGTATTAAAATCCCTGTTTCGAAACGCGCGTTCTTCCATGTTTCCATGGTTACATCAACGACTCATGAAACGTAACGTTTGAATGTCGACATTCCAATTATCGACTTGACAGGAGTATCATGTATCGTCGAATAAAATATGACTAACAAATATTCCAAATCAATTATTTCCTTCTCTTCCTATTTCCATGAAAATAATGTGAGGTATACAGATAATACTGATATTAATGATGTCAGTGTGCTAATGAAAAAATTGCGTGAAGTGTTATGATTGGTCTTTAAAACACTTTCTGAATTTCTGATAGGCCATCGTGCTCAAAACTTCGGGCATGTTTTGAAGACCTGAATATACACTTACACCATATAGAAGATACTCACGAAGATTCATTTTCTAGTACCAGTTCTTCAAAATCCAATATTATTCTGAAGCCGGGTGTGGCAGTGATATCAATATCGCAGTTTGCATTATCCGGATATTGTCGAGGGAACCCTGGACTTGATACCAGAGATTTTGGCTGGTCTCTTGATAAGAACACAGTTCTATTACAGTTGGGTAACCAGGAATGTTCTAAGGGATCTGAAATGAGAAGAATAACTAGATTCAGACCAAGTGATTAGAATCATAGAGTAATAGTATGTTAGAGAAACACTGATAGATGTTATCACAGTCCAGAGCTGTCGAAACACTGTAAATTCGTAAACAACTCAATAAATGTAACGTAGCGCCGTAACGAGTGGTCGGACTGTTCTTTCATCACGTGTTGCATACAGGGCGATCTCAGAGCACACTATCACGGACATCCTGAAATCTGGACGTTCTTGGTCCGAAAACAAATTGATAGGACAAAAATATACACAAAATACAAAACACTCATCTCACATTCGACGTATGAACTGATAATTTGATCAACATTGAGATTTATTGTTAGCAATATAACATAGTCAATGAGATATTGATCTGGTGGCCTTCAGATAGGTCTTCTGACAGTAGTCTAATCGGCTGCATTCTGATCACTTGGCTGGTCCAAAGCATTATTTTGGAGAAGTTGAGACAATGATTCGCCAATCTCCAATTATTCTTCTTCACAATTATTGACACAAATGAGATGTTCTGTAATCGCATCTAAGATCAGAGTGAGAGCGAGAAGATTTTCAGTCATGTGACCTCTGGAGCATACAGATAAATGAACTTAAAGAACACTCCTGAGAGGAGTCGTGAGTGACGTACATGCTCTGACATGAATTGATTATCGATGTCATGTCATCTACTGAAAACTTGACTTGAAAATGGATGTAAATAATGTTTTCGGTGTTGCTATAAATATTGTGATCAATTTTATGATTGATATAATCGATGAAGATGATGAAGCAGCCGTTCTAGAAAAAAATGAGAATTTTGCTGAAGTGACCGTGTATAATTTCAATGATAGACAATTCAGAGAACATTTTCGTCTCCTTCCAGAGACCTTTGAAATACTTCTGCTGAAACTTCATGATTCTACACTAATAATTCATGAAATAAGAAGCGGTCATCCCGAAGTGGACATAGAAAAACAACTATTAATAACATCGTGGTGTTTGACGAATGTTGAGAGTTTTAGGTGATTTTATAAGTGGTCAATGTGCATTGCCAGAACCTAATATTTAAAATTTTGGATCAGTAGCGGATCGGTTCGGAATTAGTAAGAGTTGCTGGAGGGTGCTGTATAGAACATGTTCATGGATATTGAATGTCATCACAGACATCACCAAATAATTGCATTCCCAGCAAGAGAGAAAGCTTTGGGAATAATTAATCATTTTGAAACAATCAATGGTTTTCCAGGTAGGTTAATTTTCAAATATAATATTAGGTATGTGTATATAAATGAATAAAAACATCAAATAGGCGTTCATGAAGGGACCACAGCATATTATGTACCAACTTATCAATTGCAGTAAATGATAGTGGTTCTTTGAAATTATATGATTTGATAATACTTTTGGTATATAAAGGGTACAAATTATTGTTTAAAATCATGTTTTTCTCATCTAGGAATTGTCGGAATCATTGATGGGTGTCACATAAGAATTGAAAAACCCAAAGACTATCCAAACTCTTACATAAATCGTGAAGGTTTTGATGTAATATTCTCAGCTGGAATACTCTGTATTATTATTTATGTTATTGTCATTGTCAAGTTGATAAAAGTCGATTAAAGCCTCATCATTCTCAAAAGGTTTTCCTTACAATTTAATCGACTTTTATAATGGATAAACAACTCCTCAAACCCGAAAGATTAGAAGTAGAACCCAGTGCAAGTATCGCTGCTCAACAATGGAACCATTGGATACGTTCCTTCAGTAATTTCATCAGAGCCGCGAATGCTACAGAAGACATTGATAAATTGAATCTCCTGATAAATTACATAAGTCCAACTATCTATGGATATATAAGTGATAATACAACATACGAAGATGCGATTGAAACTCTCAAGAAACTGTATGTAAAGCCAAGAAATGAAATTTTCGCCAGGCAGTCACTTGCAACTAGAAGACAACAGGCAGGAGAGTCTATTGATCAATATTTGCAAATACTCAAGCAAATGAGCAAGGATTGCAACTTCAAATCTGTGTCTGCTGATGATAACAAAGATGAGTTCATCAGAGATTCCTTCATCAGCGGCCTCACTTCATCTCATATTAGGCAACGTTTGCTGGAAAATAATACTCTCGATTTGCAAAATGCATTCGATAAAGCAAGAGCGTTGGAAATGGTTCAACATCATTCTGAATCATATGTGTCATGTGGATTCACCAATGCAGCTGTTGGAAATGATAATGCCGAGTGCCAATCAGACCAGGATCTGAATTCACCCACAACTTCATTTAGTATCACATCTGAATGCTTCTTTTGTGGACTTGACCGACATCCTCGTAATATTTGTCCAGCCAGAAATTTCACCTGCAATGGTTGCGGTAAGAAAGGACATTATACGAAGGTGTGTAAGTCTCGGAACTATCCGAAGAAGTCAACAGGCAGTTCGAGCAAACAAATATCTGCGACTATTCTCGCAACGATCTCAGCTACATCGCCTCGTTGTTTATCAAAAGCCATACTTCAAGTAGACGTCGATGGAATAATGACAGATGCATTGATAGATACAGGGAGCTCTGATAGTTATTTGTCCAGACGAGTAGCAGAATCTCGTAAAATTCGAGTATTTCCTCATCTCGGTAATGTAGCAATAGCCTCAACATCACTAGTATCGCAAGTGAAAGGATTTTGTGTTGTGAATATCAACATGTCAGAGCACAAATACGGAAATGTTAAACTATTAGTTCTAGATGAACTTTGTACTGACATGATTATCGGGCATGATATCCTCAAAGAACACTCTGGCATTCAAGTTGTCTTCGGAGGACCAAGACCCTCACTCAATATTTGTTGCTTGGCCTTAGCAAATGTGGACCCAGTTCCGTTATTTTCGAATCTTACTACCGACTGTAAACCTGTTGCCATTAAGTCACGTCGATATGCAACTATAGACTACGAATTCATTCAAGAAGAAGTGAAACGACTTTTAGAAGAACATATAATAGAACCAAGTGATTCTCCATGGCGTGCACAAGTACTTATTACCAGAAATGAAAATCATAAAAAGCGCATGGTCATTGATTATTCTCAAACTATTAATAAATTCACATTACTGGATGCTTATCCTCTACCTCGAATTGAAGAGATTATTATGCAAGTTTCAAAATATGAAATATTCAGTACCATCGATCTGCGCAGTGCCTATCATCAAATACCAATCAAGGATAGTGAGAAAATATATACAGCGTTCGAAGCTTGCGGCAGTTTATATCAGTTCCGAAGAATTCCGTTCGGAGTAACCAACGGTGTGGCTTGTTTTCAAAGGACCATAAATAACATCATTCAAAAAGAAGAGTTGACGGATACTTTCGCGTATCTGGACGACGTCACTATTTGTGGAACTAATAGAGAACAACATGATCAGAATCTAAGCAAATTCTTAAAGATAGCTGAGAAGTTTAATTTAACAATGAACGAAGAAAAATCTAAATTTCGACTAGATGAAATAAATCTCCTTGGATACTCGATCACCAACAGAACTATCAAACCAGATCCGGAGAGATTGAAACCTCTACTAGAACTACCGATTCCGAACTCCAGTGCTGCACTCCGTCGAGTCATGGGGATGTTTGCCCACTACTCGAAGTGGGTCCTCAAATTTTCAGAAAAAATCAATCCACTCGTACATTGCAAAGAATTTCCTTTGTCAGTGAAGGCTATCGCAGCATTTGAGCTCTTAAAAAAAGACATATCTAATGCTGCCGTAACATCAATCGATGATAACGCTATATTCACTGTAGAAACAGATGCATCCGAGTTTGCTATCGCAGCCCAACTTTCCCAACATGAAAGACCAGTGGGATTATTTTCAAGAACACTTTCAGCAACTGAACAAAGACATTCATCAGTCGAGAAGGAAGCGTATGCTATAGTAGAATCTTTGAAAAAATGGAGACATTTTCTAATTGGCCGACATTTTCGACTCATAACAAAGATCAGTTGCATTCATGTTCGACAACACTATTTCTAGCAAAATTAAAAACGAGAAGATTATGCGGTGGCGTCTCGAATTGTCTTGTTTCGAATACGATATCGTCTACCGACCAGGAAATCAGAACATAGTTGCAGATACATTCTCGAGAATCAGTTGTTCCACCTCGCCATCAGAAAATAGCAAAACTCTTTATAATCTGCATAATTCTCTGTGTCATCCTGGCATCACTCGTTTTTATCATTGGGTACGCTCTAAGAATCTGCCATACTCATCTGAAGATATTCGAAAAATAACAACATCTTGTCCCATTTGTGCAGAATTGAAACCAAGATTCCACAAGAATCAAGGTGTCCTCATAAAAGCAACATCAAGTTTAGAAAGACTCAATCTTGATTTCAAAGGACCCTCACCAACCTCATCGAATAATAAATATATTCTGACTGTTATTGATGAATATTCGAGGTTTCCGTTTGCATTTCCATGTCCTGACATGACCTCAGTAACAGTGATAAAATGTTTACGAGAAATATTTGCAATATTTGGAATGCCATCATACGTACACTCTGATCGAGGGGCCTCATCGATATCGAAAGAGCTGAAAGGTTTCTTGGAATCACATGGTGTAGCAACTAGTCGTACTACTGCCTATAATCCGCAGGGTAATGGACAGTGTGAAAGGTTTAATGGAATCATTTGGAAAACTATTGAGCTAGCATTGAGAGCTCAGAATTTGAAAATTCATCAGTGGGAATCAGTTTTACAGGATGCTTTGTATTCTATAAGATCATTGCTATGCACTGCTACTAACTGTACCCCACATGAACGAATGTTCAGTCATCCCCGTAGATCTCCCAATGGCACTTCAATTCCATTGTGGCTAACCATTCCTGGCCCTGTACTACTCAAGAAACATGTGAGAGCTAACAAATATGAACCATTAGTGGAAGAAGTTGAATTAATTGAAGCGAATCCCGATTATGCATATGTACGTTATCCCAATGGAAAC